TTCTACATTTATTCCCATTTCCTAGATTGTTCATCATAATCTAAGTTTACACAAGGAGCCATGATGGCATTAATTGGTAAATTCTGGATTGCCGACTACTAGGTTCATGATTCAAACCCTCCACTCTCTTCACAGTTCATAGTTGAGGTCACCTGCTCTTATAAAGATTTAAAGATAAGGTCATCTGCTCTTATAGAGATGAGGTCTTCTGCTCTTATAAAGATGAGGTCATCTGCTCTTATGAAGATTTACAGCCTTGGAAAACCTGTTTCAGTCAGAATCATCTCAACGGCAGTGATTAAGTCCATAAAAGAATTTCTTGCTAAGCTGCATATAACTTAAAATTACTTATTTCTACTAAGTAGAGAGATTGCTGGGTCATGATATGTCTGTTCCCAAATTCCTGAGGAAGGGCCACCCTGTTTTCCATAGTGGTTACACCATTTACAGTGTATGCATGTTCTAGTCTTCTTTGGACCCTCACTGGCAGTGAGATGATGTTTCATTGTTGTTTTGGTTTGCAGATGTCAAATGGCTAATGGTTATGGACATTATAGGTTGTGGGTCACTGGTCTTCTTTGGTGACATATCTGTTCATATTCTCTCCCCATTGAAACATTGGATCATTTGTCCTTTGTGAGATGTTGCAGTTTTCTATGAATTTTAGAGCTGACTCCCTTGTCCAGTTTGCCCAGTCTGAGGGTTGTCTTTTTACTTTTTAACTTTGGACGCACCTAAATGTTTAATTTGCAGGAGGTCCTAGCTTACCTTCTGCTATTTGTTGTTCTTTATGTTTCATAGTGTATTAGGGCCCTAAGTTTGTCCCTATTTTTTTAATTGATGATCTCTATAGCTTTGTGTTTTACATTTAGGTCTTTGAGCCACCTGTAGTTAATTTTTGTAGATGGTGTGAGATATAGATCCTCTTTTATTATTATTATTATTTTGCAAATTAATTTCCATTTACGCTAGTGCCATTTGTTAAAGAGACTATGTCTTTCCCCGTTTAATATATGTCAGCCCTTGGTCAAAGATTAACTATCCAATTCTGGGCTCCCACTTAATTTTAACCTTAACCCCCAAACAGTTCTTATAACATGGCCCTGTTGGATATTCACCTTCATGAAGAAGTCACTGAAGATAAGGATGGTACAGTGTGTCAAGAAAGCAGATGATGCCCTGCTATCAATTGGAATAGTGTCTGGGATTTTAAAGGCTTCTATTCAAACAAGCAGCCATCTAAATGAGGAATCAACTAAGTGCACATGGACGAAGCATACCAGCCTGTGTGACCCAAAGATGACAATAATGAAATCCAAATATGACTAAGGCAAAAGTATCAGAGCTTAAATTGTTAACACCCAATTTGTAGAATGCTATGAAGGACAGTGAGCACCCCCAATCCATCTGCAGAGTAGCTAGTCAGATTAAGCTTCTGGCAGATGCTCTCTGGCCCCTGGCAAGGGACTCAGCTTTACTGTCAGACAGAGATTTTTGGTAGATCGAACTATATGCTACTTAGTCAGTTGACCTCCCTCTTGACCCAACTTGAATTCATTCTAGGCTTAAGTATTTCTTGCTTGT